CAGTAGTAGTCAGCGTCGTCATCGGCCTGGGCCCTGCTGATGGTCAGGGTGGCTGTGTTTCCCGAGTTGGAGCCAGAGAATCGGTCCGGGATGCCTGTGGGTCGGTTGCTGTTACCATAGATGACCATCTTGGGTGGCTGGCCCGAGTTCTGCTGGTACCAGTGCACATATTTACTCCCAATGCTGTTTCCCTTGCAGGGGATGCTGGCCGTCTCTCCCAGGGCCACGGACACTGAGGGCGACTGAGTCAGTTCATAGGAGACCACGGAGCCTGCAGGAGAGAGAAGGAGAGGTGAGCTTGCAGCTGAGGGGAATTGCAGCTACACCCCTATTTGCTCAGCTGCCCTCAGTTCCAGGGACCTCTGAACCCTGGGGACCCTCCAGCAGCCCTCTCGACAAGGGTCTGAGGTCTTGGCTAGAGAATGGAACTCTCAAAAAAAAAAAAAAATACAGCCTTGTGCACTGGGCTGGGCCAGAGCTCCAGGACCTCAGGCTTTAGAGCACAGCAGCTGCCTGAGGCTGGTCCCCTGAGCTCAGAGTCTGTCCAGACAACTAACATGAGAGAGGGGGGCATCCGGGCAGCACCTGTGCAGTGAGCGAGGAGGGTGAGGAAGAGAGGGCTCCAGTTCATGGTGGCGGCGCTCAGAGTCCTGCTTCCTGAGAGGATGCTGGGCCTGGTGCCCTGGGCCTCTGTCACCCTGTGTTCAAGAGGCTCTGGGTATGCAAATCAGTAGAGCTGGGGGCTACCCTAGAGGGTGTTGTGTGTCTCCAGAAAAGGAAACCCAGAGATAGACAGCTCCACCTGCCTGCACCCCTTGGCCCCAGTCCCAAACCTTCAGGGTTACCTTCTGCATGTCCACACTGCATCTTGTCTTCACACCTGTCTGCACCGGGGACTGTAGGACCCAGGAGCAACATCTGTTCTCATGTTCCAGTGCCTACTCATCCTCGTCCATAGAGCCTGTAGGCAACCGGCCAGAGACACCCAATGGATGTTAGAGAGGTCGCCCACCCAGGGCACTTCCTCTGCCCATCCTGGCTCCGCAGGGACCAGAGCTGTCCTGTCCATGAGGCTTTGTGGAGGAGTCAGATGCTGCTTCCTGTCCCAGCTCCACCTTTGGAAGCTTTCCGTCGGACCTCCTGTGTGACCTCAAAGGGGCCATGGCATCCCCCTCTCTCCTGTCCCACAGGTGGTATCCTGAATTCTTTTACTCCCAACGTTGTTCCACCTGCAGGGGATGCTGGCTGTCTGTGCAGGGTCCCTCCCAGATCACACCCTGAGTCAGCGTCCTATGTCCACATTGGGAATGCGGGGACCACTGTCTTGCTCTCAGCGTTAGGCTATGTGTTGGGCAGCTAACTGAAAGGAAGTGGTTGGAAGCCACCAGTAGCTCCTCGGGAGGGAGATGAGGCTTCCTCCTCCCTTAAAGAGTTACAGTCCCAGAAGCCCACAGAGGTAGTGCTACCCTGTTCTGCAGGGTCACTGTGAGTCAGAAGGCAGTGTGTTGGAGGGTCTTGAATGGCGTCCTGGTGGCTCAGTGCGTGTGAGTTCTGCGGTCCCTTTCATGACTATCAATGGGACCAGCGGCCACTATGCGTCCGAAACAACTTAATGTCAGTGAGGGTTTTACTCCTGTTCCTTTCTTCTCAGTGAGGTGTAGAGAAAGGCAGCCCTGGTGAGTCAGTGGGTTAAATGTTGGGCAAATCACAGCAAAAGGCCAGTGGGCACACCTACCAGCCCCTGTGAGGAACATAGATGTGGCCATCAGCATCTGAGTTAGTTCATTGTGCCAGCCTGGCCGATAATCACATGTGGGGCTAATTGAACGGTGGAGGGATAATTGGGTGGTGAGCCTCGCCTTTCTAGTTCTTGGGTCTCTTGCTTTGTGATGGTTGCATCGGGTGCAGCTGCCTTAGCAGTTCCCTGCTTCAGCTTGCAAGATTGACTTCCTACAAGACATCCCCAAGGAGAAGCCACATGGTCCTATCCCGATGCAGCCCTGGGTGCTGGAGCAGCCGTGTGGAGACCCCTGCTAGTGCTGAGATGCTTGTTCGTTCACTGACTCAGCTTTCCTCCTGCAGTCGGCATCATTGCCTCTGTTTTGTGAGGTGGAGGACTTTGTGGACTGGTGTTGGGTTAATGGGTTAAGGTTGGACTTGTGGGCTTGGGCAGCATTGGGTTGGGATGTTTTCGTGATGCACACTTTCTTTACATAAAACTCTCTCTTATACGTGAGTCGCCGTGGATTTGTTTCTCCAAAGTACCCAGATTAATACAGCATCCATGATGAATGTGAGCCTTGGAAAACCCATGGGGCAGGTTTCCTGTGTCCTGCAAGCTCACCAGGAGTTGGAATGTGCCGGAAGACAGTGATCTCGCTGGAGCATGTGGGGACATTGGGGAATGGAGGGGCCACATGCTCCATGGACAGTGGATAGTATTGACCCTGTGGGCGCAGGGAGTCCTGCCCTCTGTCAGGTGTAAAGTCAGGGGCAGTGACCAGGGGACTGGTAATAATAATCATCACCCCTACTATTTTATGATGGAAACATCTCCTTGTATAACACAGTGTAGAAGAATCTCAGTTAGGAGAAGGGTGTCGAGACAGAACTAGAAAGCTTCCGTAGCTGTGAGCCTCAGCTGAACCCCTTGAACTTATCCAATGAGTGTGTCCTTGACAGTATTGGACACCCACTAAACCCAGGATGCATCCGAGGTTCAAGCACCACCATTTCCCCATCTTGGAATGCCCATTGTTTGCTCCCTTTCACATCAGGGCATTTCAGTCCCAAGTCCACTGGTACAGGGAGTTCTGATGGAGGCCCCGTTCACGCAGTTGCACGTCCACAGGGAGCGAGGCTCAGTGATAATCCGAGGGACCAGCATCCCCCCAGTCCATCTCTCCCGGCTCGCGAGGACCAGACCCTGCAGACCCAGCCTGTCTCCGCCAGGTGTAGGGTCTGCAGTCATGGGAGCTGTGTCACACACAATTGCTGTGCTATCAAACCACTGTTTTCACCGTGTGTGGCCGCCACTCCTCGCGGTGTGTCGGGGAAACAGTTTCAGTCAGCGTGTGTATATACCCCGTGAGAACAAAGAGACGGGAGACGGGCTGGGGAGGAAGGCTCCCCCTGTTCTCCTGTCCCGTGCACGTGGAAATGAAACGTCGAATCTCTGGAATCCACTGGTCTCTGTAACCCAACAAGAGTGACTGGGTACCACTGTCCCTCATGGTGCCCATCCTGCAGCAGCAGGACTGGACAGCTGAACCACACGGTGCCACTCTGTCCTTCCCAGTGTGCTCTGGTGGGGGGGCAGGCTGGCAGGTTTCTGTGTCACTTCCCCGTGTGCCTGTGTCACTGTGACCAGCACTACCGTCCCACACCTGACAGTAGTAGTCAGCGTCGTCATCGGCCTGGGCCCTGCTGATGGTCAGGGTGGCTGTGTTTCCCGAGTTGGAGCCAGAGAATCGGTCCGGGATGCCCGTGGGTCGTTTACTATCTTCAAAGATGACCATCTTGGGTGGCTGGCCTGAGTTCTGCTGGTACCACTGCACATATTTATCCCCAATGCTGTTTCCCTTGCAGGGGATGCTGGCCGTCTGTCCCAGGGCCACCGACACTGAGGGCGACTGGGTCAGTTCATAGGAGACCACAGAGCCTGCAGGAAAGGGAAGCAGAGGAGAGCTTGCAGGTGAGGGGAATTGCAGCTACACCCCCAGTAGCACTCTTGTGCTGAGTTCAGGGTCCTCTGGATCCCTGGTGGCCCCATGCTACAACCCTCTGCACAAGGGTCTACGGGCTTGGGTGGGGAAGGGAACCCTGCAATGAAGGACAGCCTTGTGCACAGGGTGGGCCAGGAGCTTCCAGGACCTCAGGGTTCAGAGCACAGCAGCTGCCTGAGGCTGGTCCCCCTGAGCTCAGAGTCTGTCCAGACAACTAACATGAGAGAGGGTGGCATTCAGGCAGTACCTGCCCAGTGAGCCAGGAGGGTGAGGAAGAGGGAGCTCCAGTTCATGATGGCGGCACTCAGATTCTTGCTTCCTGAGAAGATGCTGGGACTTGTGTTCCTGGGCCTCTGTCACCCTGTGTTCAAGAGGCTCTGGGTATGCAAGTCAGCAGAGTTGGGGCTGCCCTTGAAGGATCTGTGTGTCTTCAGAAAAGGCTCAGGACTAGACACCCGGAGTCAGACAGCACCACCTGCCTACATCCACAGTCCCAGGGCCTCCCTTGGCCCCAGTCTCAAACCTCCAGGGCTACCCTCTGCATGCCCACACTACGCCCAGTCTTCACACACTGAGGACTGAAGGGCGCAGAGCAACATCTGCTCTTATGCTGCAGTGCCTAGTCATCGTGTCCACAGATCCTTTAGGACAGGGTCCAGAGACACCCAATGGATGTCAGAGATGTCGCCCACCCAGGGCTCTGCCTCTGCCCGTCCTTTCTCCGCAGGGACCAGAGCTGTCCTGTCCATGAGCCTTTGTGGAGGGGTCAGGTGCTGCTTCCTGCCCCAGCTCCACCATCTGACCTCCTCTGTGACCTCAAAGGGCCCATGGCCTTCTTCCCTCACCGGTCCCACAGGTGGTTCTGTGAACCTTTTCACTCCCAATGTTGTTCCACCTGCAGGGGATGCTGGCCCTCTGTGTAGGGTCCCTTCCAGGTCACACCCTGAGTCAGCGTCCTATGGGCACTGGGGACTGTGGGGACCACTGTCCTGCTCTCAGAGTTTGGGGTATGCGATTGGCTGCTAAGTGAAAGAAAGCACTTAGAAGCCACAGCTACTCAGCACGAGGAAAATGTGGCTTTCTACATCTCTAAAGAGTGAAAGCTTTGGAAACTAACAGGGGTCATTAAGTTTGCTCTTTCCATGGGGATCCTACAGAAGATGAAAATAGGGCTCCTCTCACCAGAGAGAGAGGGTTTGCGACTAGGGTACAGGCGTTGGAGAATTTTCCAGAGACTTTTAGGAACAGCCATGTAGAGACTAGCAGGTATTCAGAGCACAAAGGTGGGAAGGGGATGTGTGATCCGGGTGAGCTCTGGGAACAGGGACAGAGTTTGCAAGACCGGGCTGGACCGAGAAAGCGCCTGCTCGGACCTGTGGTCAGAGAGAGGTGGAGTGTCTGGCAAGGAAGGTGTTCTCGAAAAGCGCCCTGTCTGCCACCTCTGAGGTCACCGTGAGCACTCCGGGCGCATGGTGGGATCCCTGGGGAGATGGATGGCTTGCTTTCAGGGCTCACCGTTACAGTGTCTGGTTACTGACTCTCTCCTGCCCTCTGGTGACTCCTCCACTGCGGTGCTGGAGCTTCAATGGGCCCTTGGTCCAGGTGCCGATGAGAAACCCCCCTGGGATCCTGGACAAGCCCAATGAAGGGGTGCTGTTTCCTGTCTGGGGATGAGCTGTCAGCAGGACAAGGTCCCTACCCACTGGAGTTTTGAGTATTTCTGGTGGGGACCATTGTAGACCCAGCAGCCATGGCCATCCCCTCCTACCTGTGGGTCATCTTCTTTGTTGGCTTCAGACCTGGGCTTCTCCCAGGGTCCCGACCCCCAGAATTGACCTTGAGCCCTTGGTGGGAGCATGGGTCAGTTGGCTGTGGTTCTACAGTTCTTTTTAGGGGTTCGACCCTC